ATTATAAAAAATAAAAAAAAATAGATTTTTCGGTTTTATTTTAATTTTCCATTAAATTATTTTTTATTTCTCCATTAATTTGAAGGCGTTTTAATTTCTTTAACATTTTCATTTTTATTTCTGAATTTATTTTTGCTCATAAGAACTAATATAAAATTTTCTAAAAAAGAGCCTTATTTTTAATTTGGAGGCGTTTTTATTCCTTTGACATTTTTTTTTTCGTTTTCTGATTTTATTTTTTAACGTTTTTATTTCTTATAAAATAAAATAAAAAAATAGAGCTTCCGTTTTTATTTAGTTTTCCGTTAATTTATTTTTTGTTTCCTTTATTATTTTTAATTTGAAGACGTTGTTATTTCTAAAACATTTTTTATTTTTTCTTGTTATAAGAACTCAACACATAAAAAATAAAAAAAAAGAAATTAAAAAAAAATCAAATTTCGTTTTTATTTAGTTTTCCGTTAATTTATTTTTGTGTTTCCCATTATTTTTTGTTTTTATTTCTTAAGCATTTTTATTTCTAATTTTGTTTTTATTTCTAATAATAAATCGCCATTTAAAAAAAATAAAAAAGTAGAGCCTTCGTTTTATTTAGTTTTCCGTTAATTATGTTTAGTTTTCTATATTATTTTTAATTTAAAAGTGTTTGTTTTTCACAAACCCTCAATACCCTACATCATAAAAAATACAAAGAAATGATTTAGTTTCACAGTAGTTTAGTATGTAATAATTTTTAATTCTTAAACATTTTTATTTTTGTCTAATTTTGGTTTTCCGTTGATTTAATTTTTATTTTTCGAATAACTTTTAACTTGAAGGCGTTTTTATTTTTTAAGCATTGTTATTTTTTATTTCTGATGTTGCTTTTCTCTCATAAGAACCCACAAAAAAAAATCAGTATAAAGACCCTGCGTGTTTATTTAGTTTTTAGTTGATATAATTTTTATTTTCTCCATTAATTTTAATAAAAATGCGATTTCATTTTTTTTATAAATTTGGTTTTTCCTACAAGAAACCACCAAATTTAAAAATGGACCACTCGTAACTATTTTTTTTTTTTTTTTCACAGGGACATTCGATATATAATTCAAAAAAATATATTCCCCCGTTTTATTAATTATTTGAAAGCGTTTTATCAATCATTTTATTATCCATTTTAATTAAAATTGTTTGATTTTTACGTAAAAAATAACCCACTAAAAATTTCTTTCTAATTAATCTTCTTATTTTATTATTTTTCCCTCTACCTGATCAAAAAATATTGATCATTGAATTTGTTTCTTATTTTATTTACTATTCATTTTTTTATTGTTCATTATTTTATTTTCTATCTTAACAAAGTTTTCAATTTTGTAAATGTATATTTTAAATAGTCTTGTTTATTAATTACCAATCTTTCACTTCGTTTCCATTTTTTTTAATGAATATATGCCAGAGAAGATAATCCTTATCACTATTTCTCTACTTTTTTCGGCTATTTATTTCTTTATTTTTTACTTGCTTCTATTTTTTGTTTCTTCATTTTTTCGTTACTTATTTTTAATTTTATTTTTGAGTTTTTGTTTTGTTTATTTTATTTTATTAAATACTTATTTTGTAATTTTATTTGCCCATTACGTTTAATTCATTGTTTTTCTCGCAATAAGTCATAAAAAATTTAATTTTTTATTTTTCAGATAACTATCTTTTAATAAAAATGCTTTCAAAAAAAAATAATCGTTTGGTAGTACCTATATTTATTTTATAATTCTTATTTTCTTTATTCAATTTTTCACTTTTCATTTCTTTTTTTGTATCTTAGAACCTTCCTTTAAAGGTTATTTTTAGTTTAGTTTATTTCTAATTCTCTTTAAAAAAGTGTGAACAAAAATATTTTAGTTATTTTTAATTCTTCTAGTAGTAGGTAGATTTGTTAAAAACAGAATCATTATTTTAATTTTGTGTTTTGCATGAATGTTTTTCTTATTCTTCCCTTCCACTATTTTTGTTGTCTATCAACAAATAAAAGTGTTCATATCAATGTTTATGCTAGCCTACATAATTTAGAAATGGAGTGTTCATTTTCAATTAGTTTTTTTTTTTTTTTCAATTAATTTAGTAATCGTTAATAGTTAATAGAATTTTTAATTTTTGTTTTTTTGTTTTTTTGTTTTTTTGTTTTTTTGTTTTTTTGTTTTTTTGTTTTTTTGTTTTTTTGTTTTTTTGTTTTTTTGTTTTTGTGTTTCTGTGTTTTCGTGTGTTTTCCCATAAGAACCCCCTCATAAAAAAAAAACAAAAAAAATATGTTTCTAGTTCTACAAATGAACACCTCAATATTTTGATTATTCAAAATATTAATATAAATTAACTAGAACAATACATGCCATGAGGGTTTTTTAATTTTTTTTCGTGTGTTTTTTTTTTGTTTTCATTTTTATTTTGTCGTGTTTGTTTTTATATATATTCGTGTGTGTAGTTTGTAGTTTCCAACTTAGTTTTTAAGTTTTTTTGCATTCAAGTTGCCTTATAACTTTTTACCTTTACTTACTTTATCTTCTACATTATATTTTTTGTAAATTGATTCATTTATTCTGGAATCAAAACTAGAGATATTAAGAACATTTTTAAGAAAATGGTTTGTAATGTTTTTGACGAAATCATTAACAAAATAAGCCTTATAATTTAAAAAAATTGTTATTTGTTATACAAAAATAATGTAACTCAAATAGATTACAAACTTACTATTATTTTCGACTTTTTAACATTTTTAGTTTATATTAACTTCCAGAATAAATGAATCATCGTTTTATTTTTATATTTTTTTATCTTAAGGAAAAATTAATCACTTGACGAGTACAACACCACATTTTTCCAATAGTTCTCATCTTTTTATGGTTTTGCTTTATATCTCTTCAACTGCTCTTTCCGAATCTTCAACACAATTGTTATTTTTATTATTTGTTTTAGTTTGTTTTTGTTTTGTTTGGTTTATTTTCTGTTTGTAAATAGTGTGTATATATTAAGTGTGTAATTAAATAAAAAAATTTATACCTTATTCGTTTTTTTATTAACAATACATTCCCTTTTTATTTAATACCCTGGCTGTGAATTTAAGCGTATTGCGAAATACCATAAAATATGATGATAACAATGTAATAACGATTAATAATTGTCAGATATCGATTTGTTATATCGAAGGAAGTATGTAGATCATTGTATGCATTAAGTCATTTACCACAGCGATAACAATGAAATTGTTACTTATTAATAACAAAATTCAGTCAATCCAGTTGGTCGAATCATCATCATGTGACAGGAATTATTCGCGATTCAAATTAATTTTCCAGTAAGTGTAAGTATGATAAACACACTACAGTTTTGTCATATTAATTAATTTATTTGTAATAGAATTTTGAACCAATAGGTAAAGTTCAATTTAAAGATATTAAAAGAACTAAAAATGGTTAACGGCTGTGTGCATCGGTGCACCCGAACTGCGGAAAAGTTAATCTGGTCCTATAATCCGACACCCTAATTGCGGACACAAAATAGTTTGACCTGGTCTATACAATCCAAAACACCCGAACTGCGGAAATTAGTCTGCGAAATAATGGTAGCGTATGGAAAAAACGATCCGATAAAATTTTAAATTCAATTTTATTTAATAATGAAATATATAAACAATAAATTAGATTGAAACAATACTACTGAATTTGTAAGAGACACCCTTGACAAAATCATACCTATTTATTTCATTATTATTAAATTACCAAATTTTACATTGAATATATTTTTGTTTATTTAAAACTTCGCTTCTGTGTAACATCTTTTCATGTTTTAACACAGAGTTAATTCTTATGTAGGTGCCGGTCTGCATATTAATTAATGACTTTAAAAAAATATTAATATTTGGATGTGGAGAGGGACAATAGGCGCTAAATTTGGAGTGAAATGACTCACATGTATTCGTAGTTGTAGAAGAAGTTTTAGCTGTCCATATTTTGGGTGGAAACATATAGTTAGTATCTATATATGCATCCACTAAATAGTCACAAAACTGAGTTATTATTTCATCATCTGGCTTCTCGGCCATGAAATCTTCAACAAATGAAGCCTCTACTCCATCTAAAGATAAGAAGGACAGACCAAATATATGGTGCAGCCATTTTCCAATAGTGGAATTAATGTTTTTATATTCTGTGCTCAGACCAAGTTGTTGTAAAAAACTTTCTTTATAAGAAAACTTTAAAATAAACTTTTACATAAGCGTTATTTTAGGAGGGGACAAAAATCATTATTCCAGGGGGAGGGAATATTTTAAATAATATTATTGAAAAATGTTATACCGGGTGTTCAAACTAAAGTGTTATAGTTAAATACTGCCGAAAATATGAATTTTATAAAAAAAGTTTTTAACAGAAGTTTTATAGTTTTTTGGGGGAAATATTTTGGCGAAATAATTTTTTTTTGTAGCCGACCATAATATGGCCGTATCGCGGTGGACTTTTTTATTTGAAATTAGAACCCCATTTTTTTACATATTCTTAAAGTTCATAAAAAAAATAAGAAACTCTTAAAAGGAACATTTTTTTATTGGACTTTTACTTATTGAATAACACCTACTTGAAAATTTTACTGCGCAAAAAAAAGTCGGCTATAGTATGCTTAGCTATAAAAAAAATTTTAGCCAAAATGTTTACCCCAAAAAAATATAAAACACTTTAATTTGAACACCCGGTATATACATACATACATACATACATACATATTATATATTTGCCATATTAATATTTCCTAAAATTAAATGATTAAATGTTCATATCTGAACAAGTGTAATGTCAGAAATTGTAATATTTATCATGAAAAGGGTAGTACTCACCATGATTGTGCAAGATGAAATTTACAACCAATTATCTGCACTTCTGGAAAAACTTCTAACACGCTTGAATGAATAGCTTGCTTAAAATCCATTACAAAAAATTTTGAATTTAGCATAAATCCCATGTCGTCAATCTTTTTCTTTATAAGTTGCCACAGTCTCGTGTAAATTGTTTTACTTTTGTCTCTTAACAAGCAGAAGGCAACAGGAACATACATTTCATTTTCGTATGCATGGATGGTAAAAAGTTGCAAAAAAAATTTGTGCAGTAGTCCAATGTACCGTCAACAAACAATACGTCTTGTTTGCACATAAATTCAATATTTGATGCACAAGAGAACACTACAATGTTAGTCTCAATATCATTAATTAGGAGAAATGCTTCGCCTTTTGCGCTGGTAATTTTCACACTATTTAAAAATCTGATGTGTCCAACACATGACTTTCCTATCTAGTTATTATAGGCTTTTTCCGGTTATTTTGTACAACCTATTGCAGCACCTCTATAAATGTTTAAAGGATAAACTAAATATATACATTTTCCACATACATTTAACTCGAAACATTTTTCTCTAGATAACGAAAATACTGAAAAATTTAAATTTAGCACTTTTCCTTCAATTTTTCCAATACGGTCCATTTTAGAAAAATCATATAAAAAACAAAAATTATAGAGATCGATATCATAAATAACTTTTATTTAAACAATTTTCCTAAAAATTTGAATTTTATTACATTTTGTCAAATTTCTCGAATACGGACCATTTAAAAAAATATTGTGTAAAACCAAAATTATAGATAATAATATTGTAAGTAATTTTTATCTGAACAATTTTCTTCTCCAAACATAAATAACAGATATATTCCATAAAATATAAAAACGGCCTCCCATAAAGTACCCCCCCAGATGTTCCGACTTTGTCCAAAATTTAATGTTTTTTTCTTAATCCGTTTTTGAGTTTTCTTCAAAGTTCTAAATTTACACATTTTCTCAAATATCTCGAATACGGTCCATTTTAGAGAAATTATGTATAGAATAAAAATTATAGAAAATTATATTACAAATAACTTTTATTTGAACAATTTTTATAAAAAATTATTTTTTTTACATTTTGTCAAATTTCTCGAATACGGACCATTTTAGGAAAATTTTGCATAAAACAAAAATTATAGATAATTATATTAGAAGTAACTTTTATTTGAAGAATTTTCTTCCCCAAACGTAAATAACAGATATATTCCATAAAATATAAAAATGACCACCTATAAAGTACCCCCCCAGATGTTCCGACTCTGCCCAAAATTTAATCAGCTCATTAGACGCTGGAACAAAGCTTAAGTTTGAAATTTGGTGTTTTTCCGTGTATCGGTTCATGAGTTATGCGTTATATACACACACACACACACACACACACACACACAGACACACACACACACACACACACACACACACACACACACACACACACACACACACACACACACACACACACACACACACACACACACACACACACACACACACACACACACACACACACACACACAGACATCATCGCGAAAATAGTCAAAACGGATTCAGGGGACCTCAAAACGTAAAAATCCGTCGAAAACTCGAGGTCGAAAAAAATCATGATTCCTATACTTTCCTTATATCTGTATACAGATAGGAAAGTAAAAAACATATTAATTTCACTTATTGATTTAGGTAACTTTGGCACTAATTTTAATCTGAAATGATTAATATTATTACGTATGTATCGCATGTCTTTGGGGGTTATATTGCCTAAAGTTTCATTTTGTTATGCCAATTCCTGATGAATTAATTTAGATGGTCTTTCAGACAACTCATCTACAGCTTTTCGCTTTACCGTATTGTTCACTTTTTGTCTTTGTAGAAGATCTTCATTTAAAACATGATTATGAGCACCACTTTGTTTTGAAAAGACCAGATTTTCACTTATGGTATAAATATACTTTTGCAGCGCATTTTTTATTTATGCAACACCACATCCATTCACCAGTACTTTTAAGTTGGCGAAATTTACGAAACTTAAATGTTTCATAAATAATTAAAGGGTTTCCCCTTTCACTTAACATTTGCGTAAACTGCATTTTTACTTATTACATATAATATAAATCACAAGAACTGATAGTCGACCGTCTTGGATAAAGACACGAATTAAACTAAAACTTTACCTAACATTTTTAATTTTAACTTTACAATCTTCTTAGAATAATGTTAGATACTTAGGAATTATATCATTAATATCTATTTATTATAGACTGTGACATTAATTAAAGAAAAGATTTGCTAATTTGATTTGATTTGAATATTGTTAAGTAATTAGGGACAATATTATTAATATCTACTTGAACTTGAATTAAACTAAAATTTTACAAAATTTAAGAATTTCTTAGAACAAATATTTGTACTTTTTTATGGCCCCGTATTTATGAATGTACGAGTTTTTAATAACAATTAAGAACATATTTCAAAATGACAACTTCATCTTTTACCTTGACTGGTCCTCGTAAATACAGGGCCATAAAAAAGGAGAAATAAAAAAAAATCGGCGATAACTCGTAAACGGGATATTCAAAAATATTTAAAGTTATTCTTTTGAATGTGGGTTTTAGTGTTCTTTAATAAATCCAAATAAATTTGTTCCCTAAAATAATATCTTCTAAACTATATTTTAGCAGGTAGGTATTGATTTAACCCATAGACCGTGTCCGCAGTTCGAGTTGGGGATTATATCCCTTTTTTATTACATTTATACCTGTCCCATAAATGTCCGCAGTTCGAGTGCGTCCGTGTGCACGTTGCTAAGATTAGCAAAAAAAGGATTTGTATTTCATACAAAATTTAAAGATATTATGTCTATTGTCAAGTTAAGTTTTCCGTCACATACTTTGATTACTATACGGTGCAAGAGAGAAGTGAGACAAGTCCAACATAGGGCGCGGCCATTTTGATTCTATGCCACAGTTTACAGCTAAAGAATCAGATCGCTCACTCTGTGTCGGCACTTTTGATCTCAATGTTCCAGTTTATACACTGCGCAACTCGGATAATACAATATATGACAACCGCCTATAATAAAACAGCAGTCTTCTGCGTATCCTGAATTTGTATCCCTGGAGTGGATGTTATTTTGGAACTTTCAACTGGTCCGAGTGAGCTAACTAATTCTTTAGCAATAAACTGTGACTCCAAAAATAATATTCACTGACACTGACAGCAGCAAGCAAAATATCAGGTGCGTTTTAATCATCCGCAGAAGCTTCCGGAATTGTCGGTTCAGTCGTTCTAACCTGTCAGATTAAAACAAGAAAACCGACAATAAGCAGAAGCGGATGATTAAAACGCACCTATTAAAAATAGTGCACCAAGATGTAGGCAACACGTAATAAGGGTTCAAAATGACAGAGTTTTCTATCTCCTTTTAAAAGGCACTCAGAAAGCTGCGCAGTGCGACCATTCTCCGTATAGTAAAAGAAAATCAAAGTATGTGGTCGGACCTCTCTCTTGCCCCGTATAGTAATCAAAGTATGTGGGTTAAAACGACTATACCCTGACAAAATATTGGAGAAGGTGAGTCATCTGCATGATCAACACTATGAATGAAAATTTCGACAGAGTCAGGCATAGGCGGCGTATCAAATACCAAATAATTATTTATTAGGTATTTGTTAGTAAACTTTATTAAATTTGTTTGTCAACATCTTTATTTAAACAAAGATGATGCGTTAAATATACGTTTTTGATAGTTTTCAAGAAATGAATATATTTATTCCCTAATGACTTCGTTATCTGTGTTTAATGGTTTTAAAATGTGTTTCAAGTAAATAAACGACAGACGGGTTACAGTTTGAATATTGTCAGCACAGGCACAAAGACAGTTGAAAACTAACTTTCGACGAAGTTAGATTTGTATTGCTTTAACTATTTACGATAATTATTTTACATTTTATAAAAACTTTTTGGATAAGTGCTCTTTTCTGATATACGAGTAGGTGTTCATGTTTGTGCCTTACAATTTGGTAGTGGTAGTGCATATTCGAGGAGTTATATATAGGTGTCTTTATAAATTTAATAAAAACAATTTAATAGTAGAATTATATTGTTACAATAGTAATGGATTCAGAGACGGGTCCAAGTGAAACCCAATTACGTCGGCAATCGCCCTTATCAAAGGATGAAAAGAATATTATATGGAAAGTGTATGATGGGCTGAAACAGACACTTCCTACAAATGAAACTGTAAACCGCAGTTCTTTTTTAACTGGAGTATCTGTTTCAACAATTGAACGTATTGTACGCGAAAAGACAAAAAAGGCTCCTTAGAAGCCCCTAAAACGCATACCATACCATTCTTTTTTTTTTTTTTTTTTTTTTTTTTTCGAAAACAAAGCCCCAACACTTACGAAATTAAGAGAAAATTTCGTTTTGTCAAACTGTATAGGAAATCAATTTTAATTGAGAGGTCAGATATAGTGTCCTGGCGACGGCGTTATTTACGAAATATTAAAGAGTTTAGAGCCGTTAAAAAAAAGACATACTATCTCGATGAAACGTGAGTGAATGCTGGACACACGGTATCTAAGATATGGCAAGATACTTCTGTAACTAGTCATCGCCAAGCTTTTATAGATTATATATAGACTATCTATAGGTTTGAAAGCACCATAAGGTAAAAGACAGCGCCTAATTGTTACCCATATCGGAAGTGACGGTGGATTTTTGGAAAATAGCACTCTTGTGTTTATATTGAAAAAACAGGAGACTACCACGAGGACAGGAATGCGGAATGCATTGAAAAATGGTTTACTGAAGTATTACAGCGTGTAGAACGAAATTCAGTTATTGTACTAGATAACGCTTCTTATCACAGTCGACGAATTCAACGCATTCCGATAATGTCCAGTAGGAAAGCGGATATGCAAACCTGGCTGCGGGATAAAGCAATAACATTTACTGGGGAGATGCTTAAAGTGGAATTAATGGACCTAATAAAGGAACACCGCCATAAATATATTCAATATGTTGTCGACAAAATGGCTCATGATCGTGGTATTACGGTACTAAGACTTCCCCCTTATCACTGCGAATTCAATCCTATTGAACTAATTTGGGTGCAAGTGAAAGGGTTTGTAGCTCGAGAAAATAAAACTTTTAAAATAGCCGACGTTCAAAGTTTAATAAAAACCAGTATAGAACGTATAAAACCTGAAGATTGGCAGAATGCTATTTCCCATGTAATTAAGGAAGAAATAATATGTGACGCTTGGACGGTATGATCGAAACGGTAGTTGAACCTTTAGTCATAACTTTAAGTTCCGACCATAAAGATAGTGATAGTTTTGCAGAATCAATGGATTACGAAATTTCATAGATTTAGAATTCAAGTAAGTGATACCAAGCTTAATTTACATATTTTAATAATAAACAAAATATAAATATAAATACAATTATAAACATATAGATGAATTATTATAACAAAATAGATAACCAACCTACTTTCATCTAGTAATATTCACAAATACCCATTTAATTTGCCAATATAGTAATTCTGCGACACTGGAAGAGTGCATTTTGATATGATAACGACACCTTTTGCAGTTTTAAGGCACAACTTCTTCAATATTTTGTTCTAGTATAATACCCCATTTAATTTTCCAATAGTGTTTCTACGCCACTGGCATAATATTTACATATTGTAACAATAAACAAAACAAAATTATAAATATAAATCATTATTACTACAAAAATAGATAATCAACCTACTTTAATATAATATTATTTACTATTACCACATTTAATTTGCCAATACTTTTTATACGCCACTGGCGTAATTCATTTCGGCCAGAGATAAGGGACATAAAGATTGGAAACGCAATGACCGCTGCAACGATGGCATCATCTAGCGTCTCAGATGTTAACTACAGGTCTACGTCGTTTGTAGAGACCAGTGTTGCCAAATAATTTTTTGGGGAGATCGTATAAGTAGAGTAGAAAAATGGTATTTCGACAAAAAAATGTACAATAGATACATGCATAGCATAATATAACTTAAATGGAATGAAAAAAAAGCTTTGACATGATAATTTATTTATCTATTTATAAAAATGTTTACAACGAAAAAAAAAACTAAAGAAAATACATGAAACTTTAAATTAACACATTTATAGTATTCTATAACTGTCACTTGAAAGTGATTGAAATTTTGCATGCAAGCTTTTCTTATGCCGTGATAGTCGGTGTACAAAATCACCATGGTCAAAATCACGATAAGTCAGAACGAAAATGACTGCCTTCAGAAATTACGAACGGCCTAGGAAATCTTTGCAAGTAGTTTTTGATTTTTATTGTTTTATATTCTGAAGTTGTTGCAGATATTTAAATAAACCTACTAAAAAAGTGAAGATCGTATTTTTACGTACGATCTCACTGATGCAATCGTACATCGTACAGAGAGTTAAAAAATCGTATAAATACGATTTAAATCGTACGGTTGGCAACACTGAGACAGATAGTAGACGTGGACAGTTTGTAAATATAAATGTCAGTTTTATGTATATCGAAGAATCCTGAATTTAAATTTAAAATTTTGAGTTCATGATTGTGTTATCATCTAGATGAACTTAGTGAAATAGTTGTGGCTGTTTTTGTGTGAAATTTAAGGACAATAATTATATTTTGTAAGTCGGAGAACGTATTGCATTAGTAACACATGCCACATGAACAAATTTAACAACTCCAATGTGGCGTTCTTTAATTAACCAAAGTAGGTAAGATCTATTTGTGTAAGTAACACAAATAG